GGTTAGCTACATTTTACTACTGCTATTATTCATACCTACATCATGATCATGCCAGAGGTTCAGGATGAGAATCAATCTTATCCTTTTCCCTTTACATTGGGTACTAAGATTTGAGAAAATCTATATAACGGTCAAACCCAGAGAGAGGAAAATATTAGCTTCAATATCAATATTGCTGAAATAAAAGCATGGATTGACTTCTCTGCTCACATCTGCCAAATACAGTAATTGGGACACATAACTCAGGGTAACATGTATACACCCATTGTAACTTCTCTCTTGCCTCCATCAGAGGCAGGGAGAGTATGAGCAGGTCTGGGTGCTGGCTCTGACCGACAGGTGCTTCCCTCCTGGAAAGCCTGGAAAGGACAACCTCACTCCTCAGCTGGATCATAGAGCAAAGAAGTTGGGAGCTTGAATGTGGGAGTCAAGCAGCAAAACACGTCTTGCAGTGTTTTTGTGACTCGGCCTCTTTCTCTGTAAGATGGGAATGATACTAGCATTTTGGGACAGAACAGTTGTGAGGAATGGATTAAAGACAATGTATCTGCTACATAGAAATCCTAACATATGTCATTAATGGTAACAACAACAACAACAACAAAGAATCCAGAAAGCAGTGCATTACAGGTGCATCTCCAATTCACTAGAGAGGTTATCAGTGTCCCTCAGGAAAGAGCAGATGAGGAAGCAGAAAGAAAAGTATGGTCCCCATGGCTGGTGCTGGGGAGCAGGGAGTGAAGCCCTCCTTCTATGCTGAACGTTGAGCAGAGGGAAAGAAGGGCTTGCCTCCTACTCTTCTATGCCTGGAATCTGCTGGATCCCTGCAGGTCTCTGTCTCCCCTTGAGAGAAGGGGCTCTATCATGCTCACCAGAACAAAGGTCACACACTGTTTTGCATTCAGTTGGCACTCAATCAGTGCTTTGATGGGTTTGGAGATGAGCATCTTTGAGAGATTTTGTTCCTAACAGACAAAACAGCCAGAGGCTGTTGCCCGGCAACAGTGTAGTTCCTGAATAGGAAGTGTGAGGTCCCATTTGTCTGCTCTTTCTCTCTCCTGGGGACCTCTAGCCTTCAGGATCCTGAGTTTCATGATCATGGCAAACTATAGGAAACAAACACAACTTTTTCTCAGCACAGGGAGACACTTTACATTTACTTTCCTCTTGGCTTCCTCAGGGCTTCTCTTTCCAAAGAACTAAAACATTGAGAAAGAACTTAATGTATATGGGCTAGGAACTGGGTAGGATATCAGGAGGATGGAAATATTAGCAGTTATGAAGATTGAGAAGTGACCTAGAAAATATCTACAATATAAACTAAGTAGGATATAGCACCAGACTATAGTGAGATTGTATCTGCTTCTGCTTTAATATTACCACTTTTTTTTTTAAAGTTATGTATTTATTTTATTTATTTGAAAGAGTGAGAGAGACAGAGGGAGATCTTTCATCTACTGGTTCACAATGATAAGGGCTGAGTCAGGTCTAAGACAGGAGCGTGGAACTCCATCCAGGCTTCTCACATGCACCACAGGGACCCTAGTACTCGGGCGATCACTCATTGTCTTCCCAGGTGCATCAGCAAGAAGCCGGATGGCAAGCAGAGGAGCTAGGACTCAAACTGGGACTCCAATATGGCATCACATAGTGGCAATGTCACCCATTTTTCCATGATGCCAGCCCCAGATTGTGATTCTAGAATGAGACGTGAAGTTTCTATCTTTCTACTTGTTATTCCTTGAAATGTTCTTTATTTGCTTCCTGTTTATCATCTGATTCCCACAACTGCAATGTATAGTCTATGAAACTCTGGGTATTTTGTTTCTCTCTACAGATAGCTTCAGGACCTGTGGCAGTGTGTAATTATATCTGACCCACTCCCTGGTTTTTGTCAATAAAGTTATACTGAAACACTGTCAGGCCCAGTGGTTTACATATCTGACCCACAGTCTGTTTTTATAAAGAAAGTTTTAATGGAATATTGTCAGGCTTGTTGGCTTGCATATCTTCTGTGGCTGCTTTTGCTGTAACAACACAGCTAAGCAGTTGTGTCAGAGACCATGCAGCCCTTCAAATTTAAACCTTTTGCTGTTTGGTCTATTACAGAACGTTTTTATTGACCCCAGGTCTAAACCACTGTCTGATACATATGAAGTGCTCCATACACCCTTGGAGAATGAATGAGTGAACGAATAAGTGAATACACTTGGCTAAAAAAGTAGAAGAAAATGCAGATAAATCAGAACTATTAGAGGGGAAAGGACTATATCTGGATCTTTTTCTTTTAAAATTTTGTTATACTTTAGTAGTATCATTAAAAAAAGTAGAAGCAAATTTTAAAATGTAATCCCACCACTTATATAGATCATTGAGAACACAGTCTTGAGGTCTTGTGTTTCAAGAATTGCTACAATTCTAGATTACCGAGTCATTTGCTCATGTTTTCCTTTTTAGTTCAAAAGCAAAGCACCCTCATTACTAATTATCCTCCTAATTGTGACTTAGCAGTGGGGAAAGGCAGCCCACGGCCCGTGGGGATTACTCGAGAAATGATTTCACAGTAGACTGTGTGGGGTGTTCAAACATCAATGGAACAGATCCAACCTATGCAGTAATGTAAATAATATTTACCAAGCTGGTCATTCATCACAATTAAACTGATCCAAGGCCCCCGTGAGGCTTGCTTATCTTGGTCTGTACTCCAGACACAACAAAGATCTGATAACCTACCAAGTTTCCAGGCCAGCTCCGTCCTCTGTAGCTGAGCCCTCCTTAGCTGAGCGCTTCTTACATTGGCCTTCAAAATGGGCCTACTTCATTTAAAATTCCATCTGTTAGCCAGGAAAAGGGCAATGAGCCTTTCTGTTTTTCAAAGATCAAAAAGAGAAAATAGAAGACACTTTTTATTTGTTTCACACAAGGACGAAAATTGGTCTGGCTCACTGGCTCCATCCATCTCCATACTCCTGTGAATTTGGCTAGCTCTTTTATACCTTTTTGCTCATTGGCTTAATGGCTCTTCAGAGGCCCTTGCAACTAGTAGCACAAACCAAAAGAGGAGAAGCAATCTATTCACCAAAAGGTGGCATTTAAAAAAGACATTTTGCATACTCCATTTCCCAAAGAAACAATGGTTGTAAGAGCTCTGGGACAACGATTTTTCACAGGCAAAATATTCAGCTTAACGCACATTGCCATAGGTCAAAAAGCAACATTAAGCTTGCATATGTTGGCCAGAACAGTGCTGTTCAAGGCTTCCTCCTAGTTCTCTGAAGCAAAGGACATTTATCCTACTGTGCTTTATATTTTCTTTTGCATTTCAAAGTCTTGGAATCAAAAGCAAGAGGAAAAACAGAGAGAGTCAGGGAGACAGAGAATCTACATGTACTTATATCTTTAAACAGTGCTGGCATTTTTCTGAAGTATTTCAACAATAGGGTGCAAATTATTTGACTTTTTTTTTTTTTGGTCAGATGTTGGTTAAAAGTAGATCACATTGCCCCAGAAAGAGACTTGGGCACCTGAGTGACCTCATTAACTATGGATGCCCATCCCTCCCTGAGTTCCCATTTATAATGAATCATTAAAATGGCTAGGTTAAGTAGCATCCAATTATGATGAAGGTATACAATCGGCCTCTTCTATTTGAAAGAGAAAATAAAAATATTCTCCAGCCTGGGGATGATACAGCTCTTTGTAAAGGTTCACTTCATAATTGACCTTTCTTGAGTAGAGAGGTGAAATGTCATGCACTGAACAAGATGAGGCAGCAGCCCCAACAGAAAGGCACTGATGTGTATGAACACAGAACAAAGAGGCCAAGAGAGGCAGGATGCCGAAAGACACAAAGAGCTACCCGCCAGGAATGGAGCGGGAATGCTATTTGCAAATCTCCTTCATAGAGGATCTATTTTCTTAGGCCACTAAAGGATCTTTCTGCACAGTTTCAAGAGTAGGATATCACTTAAGCTTCTTTTTTCTCCCTATCTGAAGCTACAGGAAGTCCAACTGTGATGTACTGTGATTTTATTAGGTTGGGTATATCCAGATGATTTTAATAAAGTTTTGAAAGGACATTAGTTTCCTAATCTTCTTCAATGGAAACCACTTGCAGAATGAATTTAAAGCAAGAGATCTAGTTCTTGTCAACACATGCTCTCTCTATGCAAATAGGCTACTCTTTTATAACAGCCAACAGAACAATATGCAAACATAATCATCAGCTGCATGTGACATGGGAGAAAAATGTCGTCATTGTAAATGCTTAAGGAAGATGGGATGGTGAGCGTGCTGGCGGCCAGGGTATGCTGCTCAGATTCTTCTTACAGAATGAGGTCCTCATTAACCTCATTGTTGAAAGCTCAGAGTCTCAGCTATTGGAGGACAATTGTTCTCAGCCTAGTAGATCATGCTGCCCTGAGGAGTGTGTGTGTGTGTGTGTGTGTGTGCGTGCATGTGGGTAATGGGTGGGTGGGGAGGCAGGGGGACATGTACAAAGACCTTGTCCCCTGACATCTGGTGATCAGACAGGCCATCCCAGCTCCAGAGCTCCCTTGGTAGTATCTGAGGTCCTTGTTTAGACCTCATCACAGTTCAGTACCTCCTTCTCCCTGTTTTACTTCCTGCCATCTTGAATTGGGTTTAAGCGCAGCAGAATTCTATTCCTCCGTCCTGCCCCTTGCAAGTCTCCCCTCAAAGCCGATTTCCAAGAAGACCCAACCTAAGATGGAACATTCCTTCCCGGTTTCACTCACATTGGCTCTACTTTCAGCTTCTTATTGTGGAAATAAGCAAACACAGACAAAAGCCAAGAGAATAATATTATTTATCAACCTGATCAGCATCTTGCCATCCTACTTTCATCTAACCCTTTTTGAAAACTACATTCTTTCAAAACAAACCATTCCATTCATAAATACCTCAATGTACAGCAACATATAAGCTCAAAAAGAATAACCCACTATGATATGTGAACATATAAGGTTAACTTTTTTTTTTTTTTTTTTTTACAGGCAGAGTGGACAGTGAGAGAGAGAGACAGAGAGAAAAGTCTTCCTTTGCCGTTGGTTCACCCTCCGATGGCCGCCACGGCCGGCGCGCTGCGCTGATCCGATGGCAGGAGCCAGGAGCCAGGTGCTTTTCCTGGTCTCCCATGGGGTGCAGGGCCCAAGCACCTGGGCCATCCTCCACTGCACTCCCTGGCCACAGCAGAGAGCTGGCCTGGAAGAGGGGCAACCGGGACAGAATCCGGCGCCCGACCGGGACTAGAACCCGGTGTGCCGGCGCCGCTAGGTGGAGGATTAGCCTAGTGAGCCGTGGCGCCGGCCCATATAAGGTTAACTTTTATTACTTACTACCATCTAAAACACAATCTGTGGATTAAAAATGCATCTGTTGGCCTCCAAATGTATTTTGTTGATGCTACACACAGATTTGTGAAATTTACTCTCCAATTCTAGGACTCACTTTCAGAGGATCATTACCCCCCACCCAGACTCTGCCAGTGACCTTCCTCTGGTCTTCTCTCCACTCCTGCCTCCCACTACTGTCGGATCCATTGCCTGGAGGTCCAGCCTCTGAGATTCACGTTTCTCATCACAAAAATGTCTGCACTTCCTAATGCCAGCAGCTTTGCTTGCTTCTCACAACATGGTCTATGGAATACTAGTCTGTGAGCAGAGTTTTAAGAAAAAAAATTATCATGGAATGGATATCCTTTGCTCAAAATAACACAGGGAAATGCTGTGAATTTTACCTCCTTTCTGGACGTTCATAATGCACACTAGCCAGTGAAGGCGCTGAGCAATTCTGCAATACAAACCCAATTCAACCATCTTAATGTAGTGTTTCCCACACCTGTCAGGCCATACACTGTGCTGAACTCATGTTAATACCCTGAAGACACCGTGTTCTATGGAAAATCCTCTGGGAATCACTGGCTTCCTGGAATATCATTCAAGGCCTTCTGTACTCTGACCCCAGTCACATCTTCCAAGTACCAGGTCTGACTTTTCTTTTTCTCCCTTTGATTCTCTCTACCTTAGAAGTCATTTGTAGTTGTTACTGAATTCCTATTTGTTGAAATTTGCTATGTGTTCAAATTTCAGATTATCCAGGAAGTCTTACACAAACCTTCTAATCAGAATTAATCTTTTCTTGCTCTAAGTCCTCATAGTAGTTATGCATTCTATAGTAGTGACAATGACATCAAGTCCTGACTCACTGCTTTGCAGGTTACCAGCAACAGGCATTTCTCATCTACAAAATGGATACAATGTGGCATTTACTATCCTACTGTTGTTCTGGGAGTTAAGAAATAGAATGAATGTGAGTGTATTAAATCTAAGGTTATGAAGCCAAATATTATATAGAATTCATCTTTGTACTCTCCAGTGAGGAGTCTGGTTCAGTCCTGACTGTAACAGATCTTGAACTGTGTTTGCTAGATTATTATGCGTGATTACAGCTAGATTCCTGAGTGTGGTATTTTCATAACAGACTGATGGTCTAAAGTATCTGTGCCCCTGTGGGGGATTTGTTTTAAGCCACGATAATGCATCTTAACTGTGCCCTTCTATACTGGATGGGTTCTGGAAAGTCACTTACCCTCACTGAAATTCAGTTTTCAGATTTGTAAAAATTGAGCAGCTAGCTAAATCAGTGACTCTTAAAATTTTTCAAACCACCCACAGTCATCAAAAATTAACTTCCAGTTGTTTTTTAAAACAGTAATAATTTCAGTAATAATTAGTGATTCCTTTTTCTCTAATAAGTCATATTTAAAAACTTGATGTTTTTATTTGTTGCTTCAGCTGTATCACCTGAAGGCTGACATCTCCCTCTAGACTTTCTTAAATACTGAACCACAAGGCTCAGACACTGTGATCTTCATTGCTCCCTGTTATATAAGGAACATAAACTGGCAATTACCTCCCTTAATATTTACAATTCCATTTTGCTTAAAAATTCTATGAAATTCTGAGATAAACCAGACCATTCAAGACTCAGTTGTTGTACAGTTTGTTCACCTTTTCTATATGTTGAAAAGGCACCAAAGACATGAGACCCAGTGTAGAGAGACAGGATTCTCAGCGAGAAGGATGAGTAGGCATTGCCCAGACAAATAAGGCAATGAGAGGGTGGAAGCGGATCTGGGCAGAGGTTGCTTGTACACAGATCCAAATATAAGACAGATTACAGAGAATGTGATCCATGGCTGAACTCTCTGTGTGTGTGTGTGTGTGTGTGTGGTGTAACAATGGGAAGAACAGAGTTAGGGCTTCTACCATGAGCTGGAGAGGCTGAGTGTTAACTGAGGACCAAAGAGTCTTATAATCCACATTAAGGCATTTATCCTAAGGACAGTGAAAAATAAGTGAGAAGGTTTCTTTGGTTATTATTTTTAAGTTTCTATATGAGAGGCAGAGAGACAGAGTGAGCTTCTGTTGTCTGGTTCATTTCCTATATACCTGTGATGGACTGAAGCTTGGAGCAAGGAATCCAATCCAAGTATCCTATATAGGTGGCTGGCACCCAACTCTTTGAGCCATCACTGCTGCCTCCCAGAGTCTGCATGAGCAGAAAGTCAGAGTCATGAGCCAGAACAGGTATTATACCCACGCACTCCCCTGTGACATGTGGGCGTCGTAACTGGCAAGTTAACCACCAAACCAAACACCCACTCATACTGAAAAAGTGCAAGTAGAAGAAAAACCTGGCACATTTTGAATGTTGAAACCATCACTCCAGAAGTTGAGTGGAGAATAACTTGGTTGGTAGGTGGAGAGGTAAGACTAAACCCTGAGCCAATCGATGTTACCATGGCTGAACAGAGTACCCAAGATTTGTGCTTTTATTCAAACTGAATAATGAAATCAATACAGTAGGTCATGGACAGTATTTCTTTAAAGAAAGAAGATGAAAAGAAGAGAAAATATTAGTGCATATTTCATGTTAGGGTATATTAATTCATGAAACTCTTACATAGATTATCACTCAAGTATGTTTGGGCTCTGTGTGCATTTGTACTGGGTAACAGCATAAAATGCATTTCTGTGATGAGGTAAAAAACAGGTTACCCTCCCCCTACCCCCCATGATTCCAGACCTCAGGAAGCCTTCTTAGAAATGCCTGCTCCAAATCACCCTGAGAACCATGTGGTAGACAGCAACAAAGCACCACAAATCTGCCACTGGAAAATGGGGCTCAAGGGAGCAGCTCCTATTGCTGACACACAGTCGCGTTCCAATAGGTTCAAAATAAAAGAAGAACTTGCCTCGGAAGATCCATGAAAGGATGGCTCATATGGATGCATGGGTTTAATGTATTTCACGGTTGGCATTGGCAGTTCTGGGTCCTCTCTGTGGTGTTAGATATTTGTGGTCTCCTCAGTTTCCTGTGGTTTGGTCCCCTTTTTGCTCAACATTTACCATGGGACAGCCGGGAGAAGCCATCTGCTCAGAGAACTTCAAAATGTGTTTTGGTTTACATTCTGTTACAGTGAAGTCAATGCAAATTGTTTTTACGATCTTTCCTAAAAAACAATTTTTATTTTACTTGTTTTGGGGAGGGGGGATAATAAGGGGAATAAACAAGTACTGGTTGTGGTTTATAATATGGTGTTGTCCTCACTTAAAAAATCAGTCCAACAGATGTTAGTTTTGATCATTGTTGTCTGTGGGAATCTACATTTTACTATTTTTAAATGCTGTTTGGATGAGATTCATCTTACTAATTTCCATTGAGGTATATTCACTGCAACAGTGGTGACCTTCCATAGACTCCTTTCTTTCCCTATTTTTTCATAAATTGCACAAATACTTTCTTGAACTTGAGGATGACCTGAACTTATTTAATACTCCTTCAAAGGCCAACTGAAAGGCATTATTTCTCATAGAGAAGGCTTTCAATAAGAGTTCAGAGTGAATTAGATGGAACCTCAAAGTGAACTGAACCTCATTTCTACTAATTTTGCAGACGGGTAGTAGAGCTTAAAGCAGTGTGAGCTTCCTGGTGATCAGACCTGGGCCTAGCAATGAGCTCAGGAAGACTAGATGAGGGTCTTTTCTGTTGGCCTCACTCTTAAATACTCGGCCATAGCTCCTCTAAGAGGGCAGTTACATGGGAAGCACTGGCCATGCAAATCAGATAAAAGTCAGCATAGATTTTGTTACTGGCAAGAAAGCTGCAAAAGTCATTGATGTAGGATCAGACATTTTATTTACTGGTTGAGTTTATTAACATAGGAGTCTCCAGGAAAAAAAAAAGGTAGCTTATTAAGAGTATTGACTGTGTCAGATAACAAGATGGAAGAAAAAGTTTCCCACGATTTCTTAATGCTTCTTATCTGACATATAGATTATTTTCCCTCTAGACTTACAAGTATTGAGAGTGTGTAAGTTATATCCAGAAGAATGATGCAAATCACACACTGAAGTTACAATGGAAGAGGAGAAATTTCTATATTTTCAACCAGGGTTTCTCCAACTCGGTACTAATGACATTTCAGACCAGAAAATTCTTTGTTGTGTGTCTGTCCTGTGGTTATAGGCACCTCAGAAGCATCGCTGGCCTCTCCTCACGAGACATCAATCACACATTCCCAATTAAGACAACCAAAATAGTCTCTAGAGGTTGCCGAGTGTCCCCTAGGGGATGAAACAGCCCCGTAAGTGAGAATCACTGGTTTAGAAAACTCTGGATGTTTGAAATTTAAGGGGAGAATGCCTCTATGAAGGAAGGTTGTTATTACCTCTCATTATAAATGTGATAAGTACCTAAATGTATAAAATATGGAAGCATATGTTACTCAAATAATACCAAATTGCTTCAAGGTTGGTCTTAGCATGTTGCCAACAGTCAACACAGTCAGAAATTGGACTTTCAAAAATCAACGAAAATACAAAATCTCCCCATGAAAAATGGGGACAAGAAAGACAGTTCACGCTCTGAAATCCCTCTTCATCCATCTTATCATAGCATTAGCTCTTCCACAGTCTTTTCTCTCTCAGAATTGGCCCCAAACTCCAGTTCCCTCTGCCTTTCCTGCCTCCTTACTCTACCCATGTGCTGCTGTCCCTCTACTCAGTCCTTCTACAAGAGTCTCTCTGGCCTTTCCCATCTAGATTAGTGTAGTTTCTTTCCACACGGTTGCCTTACCCTTGCTTTCCACTGGGTTGCCAAATCTTCCTTGGAATGCTCTGAGAAGAGGGAAGGTTATTAATGTGTAGGTTAAGAATATTTTTATTTTGAACACTTCGACATGCCGAGACAGGCAACTGTAGACACTTTGCCTTTGATTTCTATCTTAAGAACTTTCCTAAATATTTTCCCCATGCATGTCAGCCGTACCTACTGTAGCTTGGACTTGCTAGTCCAAGTACACTCTATGGTCCTGCTGGATCAATGCTGCCTGGGAATTTGTGAAAAAGGCAGAATCTCAGACCACACCCCACACCTACTGAATAACTCCCCATATGACCAAATACTGTGGTGGACTCAGGATGTTAGAAGCCAGTCCCAGGGGCCAGCATTATAGTGTAAATGAGTAAAGCCACCTCTTGGGACACCAATGCTGATATCCCATATGGGTGCTGGTTTGAGTCCCGGCTTCTCCATTTCCAACCCAGCTCCCTGCTAATGGCCTGAGAAAAGCAGCGGAAAATGGTCCAAGTGTTTTGGGCCCTGCCACCCACATGGGAGACCTGGAAGAAGCTCCTGGTTCCTTGGCTTCAACCTGGCTCAGCTCTGGCCTTTGTGGTCACTTGGGGAGTGAACAAGTGGATGCAAGCCATCTGTCTGTCTCTCTCTTTGTAACTCTGACTTTCAAATAAATCCTTTTTTATTTTTAAAAGTAGCTCATCCCACGACAGGTATTCCATATCCCAGTGGTTCTCAAACCAAAGCACAAATCATGCTCACTTGGGGGACTTGCAAAAATGCAGATTCTGGAGCTCCCTCTTCTCTCTGGAGTTTTGAATTGTGTTAGTCTGTAGTATAGTCTAGTAATTTGCATTTCAAACTCCCAGGTGGTCTGTGAGCAGAGTTTGGGAACCACTGTTATGACCAAATAAAGTAAGGAACTCCTAAAAGGTAGATGAAATTAAAACAGTTGATTTTTCTGATAGGTCTTCTTTGAGCCTTTATTTTCATTTTTTGAAATATTTATTTATTATATTATGTTTATTTATTTTTATATATTTATTTTATTTATTTGAAAGAGAGAGAGAGGTCTTCCATCTGCTGGTTCACTCCCCAAATGGCTGTAACAGCTGGAGTTTAGCCAATCTAAAGTAAGGAGCCAGGAGCTTCTTCCGGGTCTCCAATGTGGGTGCAGGGACCCAAGGATTTTTTATTTATTTATTTTTTTTGCCAGGCAGAGTGGACAGTGAGAGAGAGAGACAGAGTCTTCCTTTTGCCGTTGGTTCACTGTCCAATGGCCGGCGCGGCCGGCATGCTGTAGCCAACGCACCGCGCTGATCCGATGGCAGGAGCCAGGTACTTATCCTGGTCTCCCATGGGGTGCAGGGCCCAAGTACTTGGGCCATCCTCCACTGCACTCCCTGGCCACAGCAGAGAGCTGGCCTGGAAGAGGGGCAACCGGGACAGAATCCGGCGCCCCGACCGGGACTAGAACCTCGTGTGCTGGCGCCGCAAGGTGGAGGATTAGCCTAGTGAGCCACGGCGCTGGCCAGGACCCAAGGATTTGTGCCTTCTTCTACTGCTTTCCCAGGCCATAGCAGAGAGCTAGATCTGAAAAGGAGCAGCTGGGACTCAAACCAGCATCCATGTGGGATGCCAGTGCTGCAGGCTAGGGCTTTAACCTGCTATGCCACAGCACTGGCCCCTGAAATATTTATTTTTTCCAACTGCTTGAAAGGCAGAGTGATAAAAGAGATAGAGTAAGAGAGATTTTTCATCTGCTGGTTCATTTCCCAAGTGCCTGCAATAGCCAGTACTGGGTCTGGCCAAAGCCTATACCTTGAAACGCTATCCGGGTCTCTCACATGGGCAACAGGAACTCAATTACTGGACCAGGATCTGCTACCTCTCAGGATGCATTAGTCGGCAGCTGGATCACAAGCAGAGCCCTTAGGTCTCTGATAGGGAATGCTGGCTGTCCCAAGTGATGGCTTAACCTACTGTGTGACAATACTTGGCCCCCTCAAAGCCTTCAATGTGCTAATACTTGGTTTTTCAAACTCTTTGGGCCACTGGATACAAGTTTTTTAAAAAATATCACTATAGGTTAGTGTTCCACAAAATGAACTTTGGGAACCACTGTTCTACTAACAATAGAGCCTGGCAGTTTTGACTGGAAAAAAAAAAAGCTGAGTGGAATAAAATGACCTCTTGGGATGGGGTGGGGAGATGGGATAGTCTTGGTTTTGGTGTCGGGTCAGCACAGCTGTTGTGTCTTTTAAGCAAATGAATAGCACATTTCTCCAAGGGATTTGTACAGGTTGAAAATAAATTCTGAATTATTGAGATTCACATAACATAGAACATAAATTAGACGGGGATACAAAATATATCTGTACCGACATTAGAATGTCTCTTTTTTCCCCCATCTTGAAATACAAGCCAAGAATAGAACGTTGATTAAACAGAGAGCACTGACATTTTATTCCTGTGGTGCTGGATAGCAGCCTAGACAAAGAGCCGGTTAAATTCCAAAGACAAAGAGCCCTTTTGTGAGGCAGCAAAGTTCATGTGGGAGAAATATTAAGCGAGGTCTCCAATGTCTTTACCTACAACACTCATTGGGAGGCAATGGGTAAAACCATGCTTAAAATATATGGGAACAGAGGGGTGAAGGAATGTATTAAAGGTTGGAATTGAAATCCACATGAAACTCACTTGTTGTCTCCAGTGAGGGAAATTTGTACCAGGAAATGAAAATCAAAATAGTCAATGAGATAGGAGAAAGAAAATGCACTCTTCCAAGCAAGCAAAACATGAAGTGTCTATTATTATCACATTCTCTATGGAGAGGAGATACAGGAGTGGACAAGATGAATATTTTCTCTACCTTTAAAGATCCTACACTGTCATTAGGAGTATAGGCTTAAAAATAATAAAAGAATAAATCAATTAAGTGTTTGAAGATAACAAGAAGGGGGCATAGGGGCTGGCGCCATGGCTCACTTGGTTAATTCTCTGCCTGTGGCACCGGCATCCCATATGGGCACTGGGTTCTAGTCCTGGTTGCTCCTCTTCCAGTCCATCTCTCTGCTGTGGCCCGGGAGTGCAGTGGAGGATGGCCCAAGTGCTTGGGCCCCGCACCTGCATGGGAGACCAGGAGGAAGCACCTGGCTCCTGGCTTCGGATCGGCGCAGCGTGCCGGCTGGAGCGGCCATTTAGGGGGTGAACCAACAGAAAGAAGACCTTTCTCTCTGTCTCTCTCTCTCTCACTGTCTATAATTCTACCTGTCAAATAAAAAAAAAGAAGGGGGTAGAGAAACAGGGTTCGGTACAGTTGCTTTAGAAAATGTGCTATTGGAACGCCACTCTAATGATTTATTTGGGTTAAGAAATAAGGAAGAGAAAAAGTGACCTGTGTGAGGGCCAGTACTGTGGTACAGCAGATTAAGCTGCCTCAGTGCTAGGTTTGAGTCTGGACTGCTGTGTTTCCCAACCAACTTCCTGCTAATGTACTTGGGAAAGCAGCAGAAAATAGCCCAAGTACTTGAGCCCCTGCCACTCACAATGGAGACCTGGATAGAGTTCCTGGCTCCTGGCTTCCACGTGGTCCATCCTTGGCCATATGGCCATTTGGGGAGTGAACCAGCAGATGAAACCCCCCCCCCCCCACACACACACACACATTCTCTCTCTGTACTTCTGTTTCTCTGGCTTACAATTAAAATAATGAATCTTTAAAAAAGAATGTTCTAGAAATCCTTAGCAATATGTGCAAAGGACTGGAAATGAGAAGAGACCACATTGGCTGAACACTTGCTTTGGGTTGAGTATGAGTCTGTGTGTCAGTTTGGAATGGGGGCCAGTGTTCACGAACAGGCCATTGTTGGCTTCCTGGTATGGGTCATTTCATTCCCCATAATTTGTTCAACTTGGCCCCAAATGCTATGTGATGATCTCTGCCAAATTATAGAACAAATAAATCGCTTGGCCAGTCCTATATGCAGAGTCATATGTAGTATTACTGCTAATCTTGCCAAAGGATTCCTTTATAGCCCCTGCCTGTGGTTAAGAGCTATTCTTGATGCTTTGGTTTGACTATGTCTCCCAGAGTTCATGGGTTGGAAACTAAATACCCAACTCAACAGTGTTGGAAGGTGGGTCCTTTAAGAGGTCATTAGGTCAAGAGGGTTCCACCTTCATAAACAGATTAATGTCATTATCACTGGGGTGGGATTCTGATAAATACAACGAATTCAGCCCGGTTTCCTCTGTTTAGGCACATTCGCATGCGCTTCCGCCAGGTGATGACGAACCAGCATCCTGTGCTTTGACTTTCCATCCTGCAGAACTGTGAGCCAATAAACATCTATCACTTGCAATTTACCTAGTCTCTGCTATTCTGTCATAGCAGAACACTGGATGTTCAGGCTAAGCTGAATTTTGCATGAACAACTTTAATAGAAGTTACTTAACAACTTTAAATTCGTAATGAAGCTTATCAGATCTTTTCATATATATGACAAGGAGAGATCAAAGAGACTTTGGACCAACATTAGGGAACATTGAGTCTAGTGTGGCTCAAATGAATTCTCCTTAGTATGCACTATTGTCAAAGAGTTTCAGGTGAATGGATATTTAAGGTAAAATTTAAATATAAATAGATGAATGGTTGTAGCATGTACTAAAGTACAGATAAGATTTTTGTAACTCAAGAATTAAAAAATGAATATACTGTGGTGTGCATTGGGGTACAGTAGATTAGGCTGTCCCTTGGCATGCCTGTATCCCATATTAAAATGCTTAGTTCAATTCTGGATTATTCCATGTTTCTAATCCAGTGTCATCCTAAAGCATCCTGAGATGGCAGATGATGGTCCAGATATCTGGGCCTGTTCTACCCACCTGAGAGGCCTAGATGGAGTTCCAGACTCCCGGCTTCAGCCTGGCCAAGCCCTGGCTGTTACTGACCTTTAGGGAGTGAACCAGTGGATAGAAGATTCTCTCTCTCTCTTTCTGCCTTTCAAGTACATAAAAATAAATGTCTTAAAAATGAATGTGCAGAGGATATAAAAGCATCCATGATTCAGGAAAACACTATTTAGAAAGTGAATGTGGAGGACATTACTTTATGTTATTAATACCAAAATGAAAATAAAAATATGCAAAAGGAGCCCCTCTCCCCAAACTGAGGTTAATTATCAAATTGTTTTACTTGACTGGCACAAGGCATTGCTTCCTGAAAAACAGGTGGAGCTGCTGGCCAGGAAATTCACTGAAAGCAAGAGAGCCCACCTTGTGTGGACACATACTTCTCTCTCCCCTATCATCCTCAGTAGTATGAATCTGAGCATTTGCCTTCTAAGAAGTGCAGGTCCCCGAAATAGTGACTCTCTGATGGTCACAGCAAAGCAGAGGCTGTGTGAATGCTTCGCGGAAGAAGTCCTAATACTATATTTGCTCTGGGCTTTTAAGTGGCATCAAGTTAATCAGGCTGGCTGAAATCATGCAAAGAAGCAAAAGTTTGCTTTTCTTTGGCTTTCTGCAAGATGACCTGATGGTGTAATCACACCCACATGAATCTAGCTTGTGTTGTTAGAGGAATTATCTCCTCATTAAAAGCAAATCTTAATAGGCCTAATTTGAAGGCTGCTTTTGTCTGTAACTTGATCAAGACAGTAATGAGCATGAGCCTTGCCAAACACAGGGAGAGTACAAGAACGTGAAAAAACACTAACTGCTGCCTACTGCGATCACATTCAAAGGCTTTGATATGGAAATGAAGCACACAGGGCCACCAAATAAAGACATAAATGGGCTTGATTCTATGTCCTTTCTTGACACTGTCCTTAGGGCATGCAAGAAAATCCACATCTCCGTGGAAGGATTCTGTTTCAGATGCTTCCAGTCCCTCCTTGCAGGGTCTTAGTGTCCTTTGTGCTGAAATGATGTTGACAATGGGAAGAATGATTCTGAAGGCATGGTTAGCAGGATGAAGGGAATGAGCAGACATTCAGTATTCAGAATAGTGTCTGGGTTGCTAGTCGAAGATATAGTCAATGACAACGCTTACCATAAGGTTTAGTTATCACTATTGTATTATTTTTTTTTTCTATTTTATTGTGTGAACAAGAATTGCAGTCATAGACTCACAGCATTTTGGAACAGGAAAATATTTAGGGTATTATTTTCAGACTGTGTTCCATGAGCATTCCTTGTGGTCTAAGATATGAGTAGCATTAAAAAAAGACACTCTGATCAATGACTTTTCAGAAATGCTATGGTAAATAAATGTAAGCTGCTATATTACAGAGTCTTCTAGAGTCCTTTATATGCTGACAACTGGGATCTTAAAGAGGGTGATGTGCTATTCACCTTTCCTACAATTATTTGACCACAGAACTCACTGGTTGCAGGATGTCTCATAACTCATGAGGAAATGATGGGTGACAATTCAGTGATTCCCAAAGTGGAAAATGACTTCTCCAGGTCACTTGCTACTTGGAGACAGAGCCTTTACTTAAGTTTGCATTTCCCAGTGTGATTCTGGGATGCCTTACATAAAGCACACAGCTTGCTCTGTCCAGGATGTCTACAGGAAAAAAAATCTAAGGTGAAGTAAGTAAAGCATACAGGTTGAAAAGAAGAGCAGGGGCCGGTGGTATGGTGCAGAGGGTTAAGCCTCTGGTTGTGACTTTGGCATCCCATATTCCAGCACCAGTTTGAGTCCCTGCTGCTCTGCTTCTGATCCACCTTCCTGCTAATACACCTGGGAAAGCAATGGAAGATGACTCAGAAACCTGGGCCCCTGCCACCTGTGTGGGAGACTAGGATGGAGTTCCTGGCTGCTGGCTTTAGCAGGCCGAGACTTGGCTATTGAGGCCATTTGGGCATAAACCAGTAGATAGAATCAATAAATCTCTCTCTGTCTCCCCCCCGCCCCCCACCCCGGCTCTCAGTCAAAGAGGCCATTTGGGTGTAAACCAGTAGACAGAATCAACCTCCCTCCCTCCCCCCCCCCCCTCCCTCCTTCCCTCCCTCTCTGTCTTAAATAAATAAATAAATAAATCTTAAAAAAACAAACAAACAAAAATAAGAAAACATGGCAATGAAGACACTGGGGCCCTGGGAGTAAATACCTATGTCCCACTGTGCAAAGGTCCTTGAAAAAAGTTCATGGAAAAGTTGAATTATAAGATTAGTTTATTTTGGTACAAAAGCATTGAAATATATGCATTGTTTCTTTCCTAATACCCATTTTCCATGAGTCAGTGGAGACCCCCTTATATGATCTCCCACAAGTTATTTTACCTTTCCGGGCCTGAATTTTCTCTTCTCTAATTGAGGATGATGACTGCACCTGTCCTGTGAAGTTGTTGAGAATGTAAATGAGAAAATGCATGTAAATCATCTTAATTATAAAGTTTATCATTGTTCCTGATATGGGATAAGACCTCAAAATTTTGTTTATGTGTTTTTAATTTTTTTTAAAGATTTATTTATGCATTTGAAAGTCACAGCTACAGAGAAAGAGGGAGAGACACACAGATAGCTTTCCATCCTTTGGTTCACTCCCAGTTGGCCACAACGAGTGGGGCCGGGTCAGGCCAAAACCAAGAGCCAGGAGCTTCTTCAGGGTCTCCCACATGGGTAGCAGGGGCCCAAGACCTTGACTTCTGCTGCTTTTCCAAGCCATCATCAGGGAACTGGGTGGGAAGTGGAGAAGCCGAGACATGAACTGGTGTCCATATGGGTTGCTGGCTTCTCAGGCAGCAGCTTTACCTGCTACGCCAGAAATCCTGGCCCCAAGTCCTCAAAATTTTAAAATGGGACAGATCATATAAGGAAGGAGACAGCTGATGACAATTTGTTTGTTGCTGACAATTTCATTTTAAGTTTTGTTGGCAGAGGCTGCTCTAGAATGCTGTATAGCGAGCAGCGCTAGAAAGCTCTTTGTGCTGTTGAACCAGCCCTCAAACAAATGAAGCCACCAAAAAAGACTGACAACTACTGTCAAGGTCTGAGAGCACTGACCTAGGCTTGGAGTCTCTGGATTCTACTCAAGACATTTCTAAGATGGGAAGGATGCAAGTGGTCTCTCAACGCCTGCAAATCAGTCAGGCTGGAAGTGCCCTGATGCTGTACTGGGCTATAGGTGTGGGGCCCACTTGTCACCTTCCAGTAACCATTCCACTATAGAAGAAGTGCAGACACCCAGAGTCAGCTTTGGGAAATCTTTCTAGCCATTTGCAGAGTGATGCTTTGTTTGCTGAATCCAAATAACAGCTTTTAAAATGGGGCTTGTATTTGTATACCTTTACATCATTTTATATTTTTAGTTATTTGTTTTTGTTGGTGTATTTTAGAAAGGTATCAACAGAGGTCAGATTGAAAATTAAAAACAGAATAAAATAAAAGTTCTCCTTTACTTAGATAGTCTGAGAAATGGTCTAGCACGATGATTTTCAGAAGAGCATTCCCAGGCTAGCAGGACCAACATAACCTGGGAAGCTGTTAGAACTGCAATTCTTAGCCTTACTCCAGACGCAAGGCATTTGATGACTTGGGATAGGGCCCAGAAATCTGTATTTTAGCAAGCTCTTCCTAAACGTGCTAAACTTTAGAATCAGTGAGACTATCTCCATGATAACTGTAACTTCTTCCAAATTTGTTCAGCAAGAATAAATACTATATTCCAAACTCTGGCATCCAAAAAGAATGTAACACTACTTCTCTCAAAATAAACCAAATGGATTTTGGACTACCATTCATTCAGAATGGTAGTCATTTTAATCACAGTTAGGTTAAGGGTCAGTCCTAACAGTAGGTTAGTTCACAACCAGTCTTTTGAAAATCAAAGCCAGGCAGCAAAGATTCTCTTGAAGTGAACTCTGTTTTCTGCCCTACAACCAAACCTCAGGGAGGAAGAGAACCCAGAGAACCACCTGCTTTCTCTAATAGCAGGCAGAACTCAGGCAGGACCTATGGCAAGAACCCAATGTACTATCCTGCCTCACCAACAAAGGCGTTTAAACAGCACCTTGATAGTCTAGGGCCAATCTCTGTCCTAGAAGGCTCAAAGGCACTCTGAATGTTGTGCTGCTGTCCTAGACTACTGGACACTGAGTAAAGTATACAGAACAGAGATTTATTTATTACAGTTCTTCCGCCTAGAAAGACCAAGATGAAGGATCTTACATCTGCCAAGTTATTATGCTGCATCACCCACGGAGGAAGGCAGAATAGCAAAGAGTTTGAGAAGAGAGTGCTGAACTCTTTGACAAGGAACTCACTCCTGAGATAACTTACTCCCCCAAAGGTGGTATTAATCCATCCACAAGGACAGAGTCTTC